CCCTCCCCCATGGGTTTCTGTTAAGTTTCTCAGGATCCACATAAGAGCGAAACCATATGGTATCTGTCTTTCTCTGTATGGCTTATTATTTCACTTAGCATCACACTCTCCAGTTCCATCCACGTTGCTACAAAGGGCCATATTTCATTCTTTCTCCTTGCCACGTGGTACTCCATTGTGTATATAAACCACAATTTCTTTATCCGTTCATCAGTTGATGGACATTTAGGCTCAAGAAAGAGAGAATCTTAAGCAGGCTCCACACTCAGCACAGAGCCCGACGCAGGGCTTGATCCCACAATCCTGGGATCGCGACCTGACCCAAAATCAAGAGTCGGATGCTCAACTGACTGAGCCACCCAGATGCCCCAAATTCTTACCTTTTAAGGACTCCACCCCTCCCTGTGTCTCTTGTTAAAAGACATGCAAGGAAGCTGCCAGCTGGTCTGGACTTCTTTCTGTCTCTTACATTTCCTTCTTGAATAAATCAAACAACTTGTAGTCGGCTGGGAATGCGATGGGTCTCTACAGCAATGGGACTGGGGGCTCACTTAGCACATACAGACAGTCCTTCACTCTCCTCGGTGGAGTGCTGAGGGTTTAGCCCACAGAAGCAATGTGTAATACGAGTTATATTTGTATGGTTCACATGGTCCATTCACAGAACACTATTCCTCGTGCACAGTATCAAAAGAGCTCTCCTCTTTGGGATGAGCACTGGGTGTTGTATGGAAACCAATTTGACAATAAATTTCATATATTGAAAAAAAAAAAAAAAAGAGCTCTCCTCAACTAGCCCAGTAACTGGAATACCTTCTTGCAGAATAAAACCTTTAGCTAAGACTTTGCCTATCTTTTACTCTCAACAAAATCAAGACACTTTTAGAAATGCTGACCTAGTTCACAGGCTTTCTGTCAAAATCTTTCTGAGGGTGTCCACCATTAAAGATCCTGAAATACATTCAGAAAGACAACTCAGAACAAAAGGGCTTGCCTTACCTAGGTAAGGAGGAAAAATAATCAAATCAGAACCAAGGCATCATGGTTGGTCCACTTAATGTTCAGACTTTCAGGGATCCAGGGCTCTTGGTCCAAGCTTTTATACACACACACACACACACACATACATATCTTATATCTCATATATATATATATATATATATATATATATATATATATAATCATTTAAGACTGAGCTGGTAAAATGTATGTGGAGAAGCCTAAAGGTTCTCTTGTATCCCCCGGGATTAGTTATCACTGTAAGTATATGGACACCCTGGCCTAACTTGATCTCTGGTCAGCTAACTGGACACCCACAGGGAACCCACCTACATTCTTGAGGGAGTGAGTATTTAGGTCAAACACAACAGCATGTGAGTAACACACATAGCGAAGTCGTAGCTGGCACATAGCAGAGGTTCAAAAATACTGTGGTTCCCTCCTATTCTTCTAATCTGCATTTTGGCCAAGATCGTAAGTGAAATTTACGTCCTTGGCTCTACATTCAGAAAAATGATCCTCAGATACAGACAACCTTATCTGAAGAGTGTTACATAAATATGCCACTGCTGGTAAGTAAGGTTGCTTCTAGAGAAACACAGCTGTTAACCGCCTGGATTCCCCAATACTACACCAGTAAATATGAACTTCTTATGTAGACTGGTGGTGCCCAAAGGGTGGTTTCTGAAGCAACAGATCACCACCACCTGGGAACTTGTGAAAACTGCAGATGTATGAGGGGCACCCAGGTGGCTCAGGAGGTTAAACGTCTGACTTCAGCTCAGGTCATGATCTCACAATTTATGGGTTGGAGCCCTTCGTCGGGCTCTGTGCTGACAGCTCAGAGCCTGGAGGCTGCTTCGGGTTCTGTGTCTCCCTCTCTCTCTGCCCCTCCCCCGCTTGCACTCACACGCGCTCTGTCTCTCAAAATAAATAAACAAACATTCTTTTAAAATGTGAATCCTCAAACATGCTGGGGGGAGTCCAGACTGGTACAACTACTTTGGAAACCAGTGGTGTGATGTGGTGAAATTATAGTTGTGTGTTCCCAGTGACCCTGCGACGCCACCCCTACGAACGCGGGCCATGACAGCAAAGCGCTGGCAACCACGCCAATGTCCGAACCAGAGAACGGATACATTCACTTTCACGAACTTACAGGGCTTCAGATATCAACAGAGTCCTGGGAGCAGCTGGTACTTCCTTTCCTCCCTCTGTCCACACACAGGCACATGGGTGGGTGGTGGAGTCAGTCAGTGTGGGGGTCGGGCTCTGAGTGGCAATGGCTGTTGACTCCTCTAGGTTACTTCTTTCCCCTCCTCCTCCCTCCTGGCTCCCATGCTCCCAGGTAAGGGCTTCAGCTTCACAGACCTACTTGGCAGGTTCCCCTCCCCAGCACTCCTTGAGCACTGCACCAGGAACTGCGGAAAAACAGAAAACTAGAAAGTCAGGTTCATGCACTCGGGAGTGAACAGGTACATAAGGGCCTGGCACACGGCACAGTGGACGGAACGTACTAATAAAGCATGTAGTTTACAGAAGGGAAGGAACCATCGATCTGACAAGAATGAGAAATGAAACTCGGGAATTTCCTCCTCCAAGCATGGGTCAGAGATGACCTCAGAGGCCTTTCACGGCAGTGGGAACAGAGGCTCCCTTTGTTCTTCCCCTCGGATATTTGGACAACTTAACTTCTGAGCTCAGAGCCGTAGGGACCCTTTCTCTCCCTGCCAACACCACCAGTAACTGCCCGGCCCCAGCATAGTGATACAGAGCAGAAAGTTCTCATTGTCCAAAAGACAATGGATCCAACAGGATGCGTCCACCAGGAATCAAAAGCCTAGCCTCTATCCATGTGACCCTGGGCAGGTTCATTAACTTCTCTGAGCCTCAGTCTCTTCCGCCATAAAGTCAACATCATCGTTCTAATAGGAAAACTGATAGTATCAACCTAAGAGGGTTACTGAGAGCATTAAATGAGACAAGATATATAAACTACTTAGCACAGTGCTTAATAGCAGTGTACCCTATAACCAAAAGCCAAACATCAAGGGCGCCTGGGTGGGTCGGTCAGTTAAGCATCTGAGTCTTGATTTCGGCTCAGGTCATGATCTCACGGTTCGTGAGATGGAGCCCCACTTCGGGCTCTGCGCTAATAGCCCAGAGCCTGGTTGGGACTCTCTCTCTCTCTCTCTCTCTCTGTCTCTCTCTCTCCCCATCTTTCTCTGCCCCTCCCCCACTCATGCTTGAGCTCCTGCACTCTCTCTCTCTCAAAATAAATAAACACTTGGGGAAAAAAACCAACAAGCCAAACAACAGTCTTTAGTGAGCAAGGTCTTTGCATCTCCAAACTTCCTGGCATGTATCAGTTTACAAATCTGTCCCCCTGCTGGGCTCCTTGAGGAAAGCTGCGGTTGGTCGGTCATCTTCTCCCCCTTCCTGTCTCTGACAACTGTCACTGTGCTTTGCAAGAGCTGTACATGCGCATAAATGTTGCTAAGTATACGTAGGGATGAGTATTTCATTAACAAAGTAGAGTTTTTCAGGTTAACCGGAGAATCAGGCAGACAGGAATCGGGCAGTCACAATGGTCTGCTTTTCAGACTACTGCAGAAAACCACCAAGGGGCAAATCTGGCAACAGAAGTTCACAGATTCCACGCATCTCAGGCTAGCAGCACAGTGCACACTTTTTGTTCCTCTTGCTCATTTCTTCCTCCCCCCCATTTCCTCCAAGTCCCTGGAATGAGGCCAGGCAATTAACCTGTATTTTTCCCTCTCAGCCTAATAAGCCTGAATTTTAAACTGTCAGTCTTACAATTTTCTATTTTCTCCAATCTCCTTCTGTAATTTAGGCCTTGACCCTAATTTTAATTACAGACCGCTGCATTAGCTGTCCTCACAAGTAGACTCAAGTCTATGTGCTTAGAAAGGGAATATCAGGACAGGGGCATCACAAGTGGCAGAAGGCAAAGGTTGTTAGCTCCATCTTTGATGGGACCGACACTTTGAATGCCAAGAGAGTAGCCTGCGATGGGCTGAACTGTGTCCCCTCCCCCCAAAAGTCGTATGTTGAATTACTAACCTTAGTAGCTCGGAATATGACTATATTTAAAGACACAGTCATTGCAGAGGTGATTACATTAAGATGAGTTCACTAGAGTGGGCCCTAACACAACATGACTGGTGCCCTCGTAAGAGGGGGAGGTTAGGACACAGACACACAGAAGGAAGGCCCTGTGAAGGTGCAGGAAGAAGGCGGCCATCTCCAAGTCAAAGAGAGCCTCAAAAGAAACCAGCCTGGCAACACCCTCATCTTGGACTTGAACCCTCCAGAACTGCGAGGAAATAAATTTCTGTTGTTTAAGCCACCTTTCCTATTGTACTTTCTTACGGCAGCCTTAGCAAACGAACAGAAAGCCCATCTTCAGAGTCAGGCAAACCATAACTGACCAAGCCAAGAAGCTGGTGGTAGAAAGGAACAAAGGAGGAAGGGAGGAAATAGTTTTCCCACTCCCCCAAGCCCCAAGTGCGAACTCAGCCAAGCGTAACTTTCAGAAGTGACCCAAAGTACTATCTATCCCAAAGTCTTACCACATTTTCTGGCAGCTTGTGTCCTGGGAGATATTTCACATTTTCATGGTCATTATTTATAATGTCTGTCAGTTTTCTCCCATTAACGGTTTCTTCAAAGACCCACATCTTGACTGTGGAGGCAAACTTCTTAAGTTTCTTGACATTATTACCAATTATTTTTGCAACAGCTGAACCCCTACAAAAGAAACAGGGAAGAAGAAAGAAATTAAACTCACTTGGGCAGAAGAGAAAAAGCATTCAATTATAATTGAGAAGGATCCTGTTCTGACTCTGATTCAAGCACTGGGTTTATAACTTAACAGGTGATGTCCTATCAGCCACAAGCCATTGGAAGCATAGTTGTTTTCACCCGGAAGGAACACCCTCCCCACCCCCCGTGATCAGAAAAGCCCCCAGCATTTGGTACAAGGTCAAAAACAGCACCCCTTGAAACTAGTAAGCATCAACGTATCTTGGAAGACAGTATCACAGGCAGAAGAGAAACCCACCTAGAAGACGACATAAAAATAAAACCTGGAGTGTACCCCAAGCCTCCGAGGCAACCAGGCTCTGTTTCACATCCATCGTGAGATTAAAATGTAGCTACCGTAGAACAAATTGTGTTCTGGTGAAGTGCAAAGGCCTAAGTTACAGTCGTAATGGAAAGACAAGGACCTGAGTGACTTCCAGAAAAGGAGCAGGGCAAGGGCGCGAGGCTCAGATGCCTGGGTATTTGGTCCCCCCAGCAGACGTCCACCAGCCGGCCTCTCGCCCAACAGACTCCCGGTTTATCCTGCATCTCTGTTCCCCAAGCACATTCTGGTAACTAACTGGCATCCCACAGGCTTTGCCACAGGGGAAGAGAAGGCACTCCAACTAGTTGACACGGGTCGTCTGGACAAGGGACACGGGTCTGGGGCTGGTGGCCACCGCAGCAGCTCTGTTCCCGGTCAGCCCAGGCATCTCTGTGCCCATCTCACGACGCTGAGTGCACAGTGGGCCACGGGCCGCTGATTCGGCCGGGAAGACTGTGAATGGAGAAAGTCACTTTCCTGGTGCGGGAAGCAAGTCCTTCTACCTCGTTCACATCTCTGAGTGGGTGGTAAGCTTTTGAGAGCAGAGAACACATCACCTTTTCTCTACTGAATCACTGGCATCTAGCCCAATGTGTTATACACAGTAGGCACCCAGTAAATATGTGATAACGGGGATGAATGAGTGCACGGGTGATTGGATGAAGTTGTTGGTGAGGCCAGGGAGGAGACAGAACAAGATCCCTGGATGACCTTGCGTGTAATGTAACTGGAGTTTCCCTACTTATTTTTGTCATGTCATTTTCAGCACCAATGAACCCCAAAGGATGTACAGACATGGTCTGACGGGCTTAGTGCTTAACAGTTGCAACAGTCATTTGAATTTTCGGAAGTAACTCATTTCAGCAGATGCTACAGGTTTGCCTTTGGCTGCAGATGCTTGCTTTCCCCAAGAGGAGTTTGTAAAGACAGGAGCAAATGTATTCCAGTAAGATCACACGGAGGGATCTAGTGGTTCTAGCTTATTTTCCTGCCGGATTTACTACATTCGGATTCCTCGTGCCCAATGCCCCGTGTCAGTTTGCTCGCTTGCCCAGAATCACACTTGCTCTCTGCGACCTTGTGGGAGTTACTCAATGCCCAGGAACGCCTCTGTGAGCCTGAGCTGTGACCGCCACAGGAGCTCATGAGCAGCTGTTTCCCAGATTAGCATTAGGGTGACAGTGATCGTGGGGAGCATGTTGGCCTCTCTTCTGCAAAGCGTCAGGAGAATCATATCAATAGGTATTTAGCTAACAAGCTGTCCTGCTGGCTCCGAGTAAGAGTTTCACAGGTAAAGGTACAGAGCTTTGATTTCCTTTGTGAGGGAGGGCAGCCCCAAAGTCCAGGGCCTGTGGAGCAGAGCAGCAGTTCTCCAGGCTGGCGACCCCGTCAGTCCCTGTGGCGCTTTATTAAAAACCACTGAGGCCTGATCTGACTCCGGAAGCGCAGGTTTCATTGGTCTGGGGTGTGGCCAGGGACTCCCCCGGGATTTCTAAAGCTCCCAGGTAATCTAATTTACAGCCAAAGTTGAGAACGACTAGGTTGGTTTATCCACTTATCTCAGGAAAGGGAAGGTGATCGGGATCGTGGGAAGAAGCATGGAGTTTAATTCAAGGACAAATGTAGCACGGAGAAGAACAGAAACATTCTGGTGTCCGTAAGGCCTCGTCTTATTCTTGCTGCTTAACTTACACAATAATCTGCTTTTGTTTTTAAGATCAGTACTTAAAACACGGTATTTTATTGTTTTAAGCTCTTTTATAATCTGGTAAAATCTCCACATTGAACCAAATATTTTATTTGCTATCCAGCTTTCTTTTCTTTTTCTAACATTTATTCATTTTTGAGAGGCAGAGCGCAGGCAGGGGAGGGGCAGAGAGAGAGAGACAGACAGACAGAATCCGAAGCAGGCTCCAGGCTGAGCTGTCAGCACAGAACCCGACATGGGGCTCAAACTCATGAACCATGAGATCATGACCTGCGCTTAAGTCAGAAGCTTAACTGACTGAGCCACCCAGGTGCCCCTGCTGTCCACCTCTCTTCAGTATTGTTTATAAAACCACCAAAAGTATAATCCGCCTTGACATAACAAAAGCCATATATGACGAACCCTCAGCTGACATCATACTGAGTGTTCTCACCACCAAAAATGTGGAAAGGGGGCAGTCAGAAGCTTTTTATTTTAGGAAGTAAATGTTTATCATTTGTTTTTATATTCTATTTTGTAATTTTCATTTTTATCCAAGATACGTATCACCTTGATTTGTGGTGGTTTCACAGGTATGTCCATATCTCCAAACCCCTCAAACTGCACACAATAAATATGTCCAGTGATTTTTATGTACCAATTACACTTCAAAAAAGCTGTTTTTTTTTTTAAAAAAGGAAGTATGTATAATCTACACGCCAAACTCCTTTGTGACTCTGAAAGGATACTAGCTGTGTTCATTCCATAGGTATTATTACTTTTTTTTTTTTTAATGTTTATTTGTTTCAGAAGAGAGAGAGTGAGAGAGAGAGAATGAGCAGGGGAGGGGCAGAGACAGAAGCCCAAGCAGGCTCTGCACCGTCAGCACAGAGCCTGACGCAGGGCTTGAAGTCACGAATCGTGAGATCATGACCTGAGCAGAAGTCGACTCACAGGCTTAACCGACTGAGCCACCCAGGCGCCCCCTACTTCTCACCAACATGAAGGAACAGGATCAAATAGAGCAAACGAAGTGCTCTGGAGGGACCTGAGTCTTTGGAAGGGACTGGAGGCTATTGCAAGTGATGTACCTTGTTCTAAAAAAAAACACACAACAAACCACACAAAAAAACAAAAAACAACAAACAAAAAGGGGGCTGGCCTGCAGAGAGCCGGTCCAAAAACACTCACAGATACTAGAACTGAGCTTAAACTAAGAGTACTGGCTATAGTCCACGAAGGCAGTTCGTACGTGGCTTGCTTGTGGCTGGAGCGGGGCTTCCCCGGCCACACTGGCGGAGCTCCCCATGTTTCAGTGTTGTGCCACTGCACAAGCATAGCCAGGCACGGATCTCCCACTGCAGGGCTCAAGGGCACAGGCAGCCATTTCCACACCTGGCCCGGCTCATTCATCTCCTAAATGACAGGTGGGACAGCGACCTTTCAGGTCCTTTCCGGGTCTATGACTGCGTCCAGTGTTTTCCCAGGTGAGGAACAGGTGTACCCCCGGTTGGCTGAGGGCTACTCCCACACACGCCACCTAAGGACACTGACTCACTTGTGTCCTTTCAACTCCTATGGCCCTCTGAGAGAGTGTAGAATGTCTCATTTAAGTGCTGCTGTGTTGTCCCCACCTCTCTAGCATGTGCTAGTTTCCCTTCTTCACAAAGTCGCCAAGTGCCTCAGACTCTGAGCCTTGGCAGGGGGCAAGTAGTATTTGGCAAGAGCTCTGTAACACTGTTCTGTTTTCGTTCTACTGGTTGTTGTCACCTCCTACATGTGATATTTACAGTGGTGATAGAAGGTTTTCCTTTAAAGTCAACTTTTAAACAAAGTGTAATAAGCAAATAACGCAGGGGTGAAGCAGAGCCAAAGCCATAAGGGTGGAGCCTGCAAGATAGAAGTTTAATCCTGTCCAAACTTTTCACCTTGAAGATTAAGACAGGGAGGATCGGAGTCACTCTGACCTTCTATCATGCAACCAGGTACTGGCAGAACTGGAAGAGGGACTCAGGTCTGCTTGCGGCCAGTCCTGAGTCTTTACCTAGATGTATAAAATCACATTTCCCGCAAAACTGTGCGGACTAGGGGCGCCTGGGTGGCTCAGTCAGTTAAGCCACCGACTTCAGCTCAACTCATGATCTCGTGGTTCACGGAATTTGAGCCCCACGTCGGGCTCTATGCTGACAGCTCGGAGCCTGGAGCCTGCTTCGGATTCTGTGTCTCCTCTCTCTGTCCCTCCCCCACTCTCAAAAATAAATAAACAGAAAGAAGGAAAGAAAGGAAAGAAAAGAAAGAGAGAAAGAAAGAGAAAGAAGGAAAGAAGGAGAGAAAGAGAGAAAGAAAGAAAGAAAGAAAGAAAGAAAGAAAGAGAGAAAGAAAGAAAGAAAGAAATCACGGAGACTGATTTGCAACTTCTACAATGCTATGCAAATGAGTTTAGAAGGGACCCGCATGCGGAGGGATGTTCCAGTGCCAGCTACCTATTGGGACTTAATATCTCCCTTTAATCTTTACTGCAGCCCCAAGAGAGGTCCTCATTATCCCCTTTAACTTTACAGGTGAATAAGCTGAGGATCAGACGGTAAGTTACCCAAAGGTTATGCTGCCCATCTAGAGCCAGCAGTTCTGATCCAGATCTGTCTCCAAAGCCCACGCCTTCCGCCATTTTATATCTGCCTTGGTGCAGAGCCATCCTTCGTTGAAAATGCATGGTGCACACCTAACAAGTGTAGACACTGCTAGGCGAGTCCGCACCCTCATGGAGTTTGGAGAGTGGTGAATGGAAACTGGCGTCGCTGCGGCACGCGCACAAAGAAGAGTAACTGTGCCATGGTGACCAAAGTGGCTAAGCAGATGACGCGGTGACACATCAGAGAGGTCAGGGAGAGCTGGGAGGAAGCACGGTGGGGAGAAGGCTTCACCGTGGGGAGGTGCGGAGCCTTCCAGGCCCTGGAGCAAAGGTGCAGGAACAGGTGGGGCCAGAGATTATCTTCTGCTTTTACCTGGAACCAACACTAGTAGGCATAGGAGGAGGAGGGGGGAGGAGGAAAGAGCGGGAGAGGGGGAAGGGGAGAGGTCAAGGAAGGAAAGGGAGAGACAGGGGAGGAGCCAGTGGGGGAGAAAGGGAGGGAGAGGATGGCATTGCAGGGAGAGAAGGTGCAGAGGGCAGGGGTGGGGGCCAGCCCAGAAAAGGGTAGGCCTACCAGATGTCAGGCACTGGTTTTTGTTGCTGTTTTTATTGAAATATCATTGACATATAACATTGTGTAAGTTTAAGATGTACAACTTGTTGATTTGATACATTTATATACTGCAATAAGATTACCACCAAAGCACTACTTTAAACATCTTACCCATATTATGTTTCATTCCTCAGCAACCCTTTGAGGAAGTTGATATTATCATCATATATAATGATTATTACATAGTATATGTATTACATATGTTATAATATCCATCTGTTATTATCCCCATTCTTTACATGAAGAAACCGAAGCCCAGAGACCACCCAGGTAGACCAAGCGTCACGCTCCAGGCCATGTCTTCAACACTCTGCTCTCCCTCCCTGGGTCCCAGCTGGATAGACACCCACCTGCTGGAGGTCCTAACCTCCAGCTTGGCATGCCCACCTGACCCCTTGGCATTCACTCTCTTGCCTTCTGGCCCCTTCTTCTCTAAAGAGCTGAGTATTTTCAGCAGGCTGGGGATGTGCTCCATCAGCCAAGGAATGGCCACCTATCAAGTTAGGAGCAAACTTGATAGAATTCTTCACAGAGTGCGAAATCCTTCTTGGCCAGAAAGGACCCTCCAGTCCCTCCTTCTTTTTACTAAGGAAACTGAGGCCCAGTGAGAAGAATTAACAAGGGTTCAGCCAGATTTTCCACATTCCATGCCCCAGTCTCTTCTAGAGCTGATCCTAACTATGGAACCAACAGAAAAGGGTGGTCAATTTTGTTTTAAATAACATCTGCTTTTACACTCATAAAAGCAATACATGAAAGATGAAAAGACAATTATGAATAATCTCACCACCCAGGGAGAACTACTGTTAACATTTTGTGTAATTCTTTGTGTTCAAGGGCTTTTTAAAGTACAATCAAATGCCAGAGTATTAGATGCAAATGTGAAAAATGAAGTATTTTAAAAACTGATTCAACTTGGTGAATGTTCATTTGATCTCTGGATAGGGAAGCTTTCTAAGCTTAAAATCAAAGGAAGAAACCACAGAGGGAAAAAGATCAATGTGAACAACTTCACAAAGAAAAGGAGGGGGGAAACATGAAAAAAGCCTTTCCATCTATCAAAATTCAAAAGGGCCGAGAAAAAGCTTAAGGTAGAATGTTACATTTAACCAAAAAAAAAAAAGAATGCAAAATTGTACACTCCACATGACGGGCAGTTAACAAAATACATACCACCTCGCACCCATTAAGATGGTTACTACAGGGGAAAAAAAAACCCAAACAAACCCAGAAAATAACGAATGTTAGTGAACGCGTGCGGAAATTGGAACCCTTGTGCACTGCTGGTGGGAATGTAAAACAGGGCAATTGTTATGGAAAGCAACACAGTGGTTGGCCAAAAAACCAAAAATAGAATTACTGTATTATCCAACAATTCCACCTCAAGGTGTGTACCCAAGAGAACTGAAAGCAGGCCCTCAGATGTTTGCACACCCATATTCAGAGCAGCATTACAGTGGTCCCCCTCATCTGCCCTTTCCATTCTGTGGTTTCACTTACCCCCCACCCCCACCCCCCGGGGGCCAGGTCCCTGATGTGGGCAGATAGCCGGCCATCTCTCATCACCACAAGAAAGGCGACGACAGGACACTTAGGTATTTTGAGAGTGATGAACCATATTCACGTAACTTTTATTACAGTCTCTTGTTATAATTGTTCTATTTTATTCATTATTATCGTTAATCTCTTACTGTGCCTAATTTATACATTAAACTTTGTCATTGGTACATACGTAGAGGAAAGACAACAGTATTTACAGGGTTCTGTACTATCTGCAGAGGGTGGAAGAAACCCCAGTGTCCACTAATGGATGAATGAATAAACAAAATGTCCTACATAAACACAGTGAAATATTTTTCAGCCTTAAAAGGGAAACACATTTTGACACGCTACACCAGGAATGAGCCTTGAGGACATTATGCTAAGCGAAGCCAGCTACAAGAAAGACAAATACTGTATGGTCCCACTTACACGAGGTACCATAATTATAGGAACTCCCTCTTGCTGCTGGTGGAATCTAACCACCAAATAGAGAAGTCCGAACTAGCCTGCTGACGAAGGAGAGACACACAGCCCAGGCACTCCTGTTAGCTGGCAGGAGCCTGCTCCCTGCCAGACACACAAAGGACGTCACCTAGGACCAAGAATCCCAGGCAACCCATCACTGGACTGCAGCCTTATGAGTGAGACCAGGCTAGACCAGCAGAAGTTCCCAGCTTAGTTCAGATTGTTGATCCCAAGAATCACGAATGTCTCTCAAAAAATAAATAAGTGTTTAAAAAAAAAAAAATGGATTGAGTTCCCAGCTCCCAAATGTGGAAGGGACTGAGCCCCAAAAGACAATGATGGCAACCGAAATTTAAGGAAAGAGAGTGGGTTCACCAAGGCAATGCTCAGAGATTAAGGAGTGAAAGTTGGAAGTGACAGATTTTTCACTCAGATGTAAGGTTTTTCTAACAATTTGCTAGATTAATTTTAGGAAGATGAGTTGCCTTAAAAATAGTAAACTATGATCATCTGCCATGTGTACAAGAGGGGGAGTGCCTGCTCTGGAGGGAAACAATGATTTTCAAGGCGTCCTTTCAATCTGTTCATTCTTTCTTTCTTTTTTGAAGATTTTATTTTTAAGTAATCTCTCCACCCAGCGTGGAGCTCAAACCCACAACGCCGAGATCAAGTGTTCCGTGTTCTACCAACTAAGCCAGCCAGGTGCCCCTCAATTCGATTTTTCTTTTTTTTCCCTGTTTTTTAAGTAGGCCTCACACCCAGTGTGGAGCTTGAGCTCACAACCGTGAGATCATGACCCGAGCTGAATTCAAGAGTCAGACGCTCAACCGACTGAACCACCCAGGCACCCCCAATTTGATTTCTCTTGATTGGAATACTGTTATATTAACTTTTGTTGGGAGGGTCAGATAGGAGATAGTCAATATTTCTACGACAGTGAGGTCTGTCCTCAGGTACACGAATGCTTCTCGCTGAAAAGGACAAGAATTTATGGAAACACAGCCATTAAGCATCGAAGCTTCAACTCCACCTTATGAACCACTGACCTCAAATGGTCTTCTCTTGATCTCCATTTTGTCACCTAAAATAGGGGTAATATAGTACTGCACAGACTTGTTAGGAGGCTTAAGTGAAGAAATGCACACACCTGACATACAGAAAATGACCTGCCAGGGAGGGAAGGAAGTGGAATAGAATAAGGCTGGCAGAGGTGAAAGGTCAGAGAGAACTGAGGGCTTCTAACACACCCCTAACAAGCAGCCATGATTTTTTATACCGATCTTCTTCAGCTGATGATGGGGTTATGTCCCAATAGATCCACTGTAAGTTTAAAATATCCTAAAATACCTGGTATCCCTAACCTCTCGAACACCATGGCTTCAACAAGCCCCCAACACTTCCATTAGCATAAGTTTGGGCAAAAATACCAAACACAAAACCTGTTTCACAAAGAAGCGTTGACTAGCTCAAGTAAATGACTGAACCCCGCACTGAACGTGACAAACGGAACGGCCATGTGGATACAGAAGGGCTGTCCACGTACTGCTTGTTCACCCTCGTGACCGGTGGCTGGCCGGGGGCTGTAGCCGCTGCCTGGCACCATGCCAGGGGATCCACTGCATGGCACCAGCCCTGAAGAAGAGCCAAATTCACAACTCAAAGGATGGTATCTACTGAATACTCATACATATTTTTTTTTAATGTTTATTTATTTCTGAGAGGGAGGGAGAGAGAGACAGAGCATGAGCAGGGAAGGGGCAGACACAGACGGGGAGATACAGATGTCGAAGCAGGCTCCAGGCTCCGAGCTGTGAGCACAGGGCCTGACGCGGGGCTGGAACCCACGAACCGTGAGATCATGACCTGAGCCGAAGTCGG